TATATATATATATATATATATATATATATATATATATACAGTATATATGTATTTATATATAAACATATTTAAAAAAATATCAAAGTAGGTGGGAAACAAGCGTGAAAAACAAGATCATTACTGTTTATGATAGTGTGGAGATGTACATTATACACTGTAATTGTCATGAAAGTTTAATTAGCTCAGTACCGGTTATGTAAGGAGGTTTGGTGTCTCGGATCATCGGTTCTTAATTCTCTGGATGGGCTGGTCTTCACAGGTGAACCCTAGAAACATAGTAAAGCTATCATTAGCCCTGTGTTAACAACAAAATCTGACTAGAACTGATGTGATCAACCATTAAGCAGTAGTGCGCACCTCTCTGGTGATTCGTCTTTCAATGTAGGCCATAAACTGTGAGCTGAGGCTGACAGGCTCCAAGCCTCTACGGCTCCGCCCATCCTCCCCCTCATCATCCCCCGTACAGCTGTCAATGAAGTCTATCTGTTCAAGCTCTGCTTCCACTTTAGAAAGACAACGAAAAATTTAAATTCCTGTAATGGACAGCTTCTCGTGGCTTATCACTAGAGTCTGAACTGTAGTGTTTCATAAGCCTCTCACATGTGCCATTGGTCACGTGAGACCCCGTCCGATGATCCTCGCGCTCTCTTTCTCGATCTCGTCTCTGTCTTTGCTCTCTGGTGATCTCCGCCACTCTCAATGGCAAGTCTGACAACTCATCTGAAGGCTTTAAGAAGGGATAGATGGGAAAAAGGAAGAACAGAACAATAAAATAAGCGATAATGGAGAATAACAGCTGGATAGAGTGGATTCTTGATAGAGTGATCTGAATAGCACTTGCCTCATTTCCCGACCACCTCTTGTCTCCGCTGTCCACACTGTTAAAGCCAGAGTCCAGAGCTCCGTACGGCCGGCCGGAATACAAATCCTCTGCACTGAGAAACAGACAGACCAGAGAGAACAACATCACATCATCTGAGGTTTCATGAGGACCAAACACATTCAAATAGTCTGCAAAAAAATTATTTTCTAACACCAACATCAATTTTAACAAGAGTTTCTGTATAAAATGTGAGTGGTTTGCCTGTGCGAAACACCCACAATGCCAGGGTGTTGCTATGCAGTTGCTGAAGAGTTTTGAGGGGGTTTTTTCCAACACGTTGCTATGTGGTTGCTAGGGAGTTGTGGGTGTTTTTTTACTGGTCCAAATCAAAACAGCCCACACTCAAGTCTATTGGATTTTCTGGTTTTTAGAGACTGTTTGGGTCCTTCCCTCAATGTAAATCTATGGTATATTCTCATTTTATTTATTATTATTTTATACTTTACTTTATTCTATTTTTATTTTATTTATTTGTTTATATTCTATATTTTATTTTAGTTTATATGAAGATTTTTTGATTTTCTGGTCTCTAGATATGGCTTGGGTCCCTCCTTCAATGCAAATCTGTGGTATTTTCTCACTTATTTTATTTATTTCGTTTTTCAATTTTATTTAAATTTTATTGTATTTTATATTTATATATTTTTCTGGTCTTTTGATATGGCTTGGGTCCCTCCTTCAATGCAAGTCTGTTGCATTTTCTCACCCATTTAATTAATTTTTCATTTTATTAAATTTTTTATTTAATTTAATTTTATTATTTTGAATTTAATTAACATTTTATTGTATTTATATTCTATATTTTATTTTACTTTATCTTAAGTCTTTTTGATTTTCTGGTCTATACATATGGCTTGGGCCCCTTCTTCAATTTAAATTTATTTTATTTTATTAACATTTTAATGTTTTGTTTTATATTTTATTTTATTCGCCACCACAAAAAATAACCTGATTACTCAGATAAGTAATAGCAACCTCTCCTCAAGATTTCGTACTGTAATTTGTACACACTGCTTGTACACAAGTTCTATATATCATCTGTCAAATCTCGAGAAGTTTGATCTCTACATCATCTCATCTACTGTCATCCGGTTTTGCTGCAATCTCTCCTGTCTTCATACCTTCATTCCAATCAATCCAAGCTTTCATTCTGTCTGTGTGTTTTCCTTTCCCTCCCTTCTTATCTGCAGAATCGCCCTGCTCTGCGTGTCCTCTGAGAGACACGGCCGTTGCTTTATTATTATGCAACACATTATGCTCACAAAACCCAGTGAACTGAAGTGAGTTCTTACTAGGATCCGTAGGGCAGTGGTCTTCTGTCGTAGTCTGGAAGGTCTGATGCTGCTTTACACGCCTCCATGTTGAGATATTTAAATATATGGATCTTTCCCTTTATACAGATCTATAAGAAGATGCAGAAACACGTCAATAAAGATGGTCCTCAGGATGTGTAACCTCACAGAGATGCTCCTAACTTTTAAACAAGCACTGAAATAGCATTCGAAAATCTTTTTACTTTCATAAAATGACCTATTTCTTCAGTGTAGATCAAAACAGGAACGTGTGTTACCTGTGCAGGTGGGCTCTGGAGAGGATTGTTGTCCAGAATGATGCTCTGGAGGTGTCTGAGATTGCGGTAGCATACTGGGATTGTCGTTACCTTATTACAGGAAAAATCGAGCCGGACCAACGGCAGCTCAGCCAACTCTGCAAACCGATCAACACAGAAATGACACAAGCACATCTACAAAGAAAGGGTCGCTCATTTCATACAGGTGCAGGTGTGTGTGATTCTGACCAGGAGGCAGACGAACGAGGTGGTTTCTGCGGATGTTGAGGTCACGCAGAGCTTCCAGCTGACCGATCTGTGGAGGAAGCGTCTGGATCTCATTACAGCTGACATCCTTGAAGACAGAGACAGAGAGAGAGAGAATTGATGAGTAAAGTGCACTAGTGAGAGAAAACTAGTGAGAATAGCGCTGGTCCACACACCAGTTCAGTGAGCTGTCTGAGTTTGCCCAGATCCTCCGGCAGCGACACCAGCTTGTTATTGCAGGCGATCAGAACTTTGAGCGGCAGTCGGCACAGATGAGCAGGGAGAGTGGACAACTGGTTGCGACTGCAGAGAGAAAATGACAACCAAGGGAATAAGAAACCGCAGAGTCCAATGACTAGATTTAAATAAATGTGAGTGGTACTTTCACTTGAATGATTAATAATAAAGGTGGTTGCAAAGGGCAATGCGGTTACTAGAGAGTTCTGAATGGTTTTAGGTTGCTAACAGTGTTGTTGTTAACTAGCACTATTCTAGCACTCTCTATTCTAATTCTATTCTTTAAAAAAATTCTATTCTATTCCCTTTTAGACATGCACTCTATTCATTTATTGCTTGTTTTCTTAAAAAAAAAAAAACTAACTTTTCTAATCTTTTTGTATTCTATCTATTTGTTTTCTTTTTATTTATTATACAATTAACAAAAGCAAAAAAGGCCTCTAACACTAGCTTGCTCTATTCTGTTTTCTTTTTATTTACTATATATTTTTTTTTAAATCCTTGCTACGTGTACTGCATTAAGCTAACTGAGATTTGTTATAGCACTTGCATATCATTGCTCTTTTGTTGATTTTGCTTGCTTCCATTGTCCTCATTTGTAAGTTTGCTTGCTTTAGAAAACACCACTAATTAACACTTGCCGCACAGCAACTGAGTAAAATATGGTTTTGGTGAGTTACTAAGTCAACTACAATGAGTTACTTGTCAGACGGTTGGAATCTTTTTTGGAAATGCATAATAATAGATGGTTTGAATCTCAAAATCAAATCATGAATTATTAGAACAAATGGATTCTCAATTGAAATTTTTTTTAACCGAACAAATCCAATCAATGTTTTTCATATCTCCAGAACTCCATGTTAAAACACAGCTGTCTTTTATCTGTGGTAACAATTAAATGGTTCAATACCAATATTTTACATAATGTATTTGCATGTTATGTTATGAATGCTGTGTCTGTGACCTGATGTTTAGGTAGGTGAGGGACTGTAGGTTGATCAGACTCTCTGGTAGTGAACGCAGGCAGTTCTGGTACAGGTTCAAATTCTCCAGCGACACAAACATGCACACCTCCACCGGCAGCTCCGTCAACCTGTTTCGTGATAGATCTGAGAGGACAGATAACAGAGAGAAAGAGACAATGAGAAACGCATTTCTGGCATCCAGGACTGCTGCACACCTGTCTTTGGTTTTGCTCATGTAAAAGTGTGTTTGGACCAATGTGCTGGAAACACAGTCTCTGAAAACCCTCTAAACATTTGTTCTACTTTCCTGCAGGTCAAGGAAATGATACAAATATAACAGCATCAGCCAAAATGTTTATTATATATATTTTTTTTTTTTTTTTTGCTGTTATTGATCTGAATTGGCTGATATTGGAAGCAGGAAATATTAAGGCTCATCAAACTGGCTAATCACAACACCTGTGACCTAAAGTACATCAATTTATAAGCCTATTTCTACCTTTTTGTGTAATACTTCATACAACACAAATAAATAAAAAAATAATGAAGGACAGCGATCTGAAGTATGTGATCTTTCAGAAGTTGCTGACCATCATGAACTCATCTGCTACAGATGGTAAAATGGGGATCTGATTCAAGTCTGCACGGGGAAAAAAAAGAGAAAGAAATTTCTATTGCACGCGTATTATCCAGGTTTGTCCAGTCATCTACTGACAGCCAGGAAGAACAAGTGATTGATCCCTTTTGAGGGTTCACAGCACTGTGTATGCAGAAGTCAAGTGTACTTGTCTTATGTACATGGTTGTGGTTGTATTATGATCTATGATTGCTTGCAAAACAGTCAATTAAATATTATATATGCATGATTAGTTATTACAGTTGTCACATTTTAATTTGAAATACAAAATGCATGCTCAAATGACAATGCATAAATCCAAGTAACGCTCGCTGTATTTGCATGCACACGCACACATATACAAACTCTTTACATTTTAATTTGAAATACAAAATGCATCCCCAGATTATACAAAAAACATTAATTTATAGGGTCTTATGATTACTGCAATGCAGAAAACATGGAATCCAGTCATAAAAACTAAATTTACTGTATAAGACAGAATGTCATGAAATTTGACAAATTTTGGATGAATTAATCAAAATTACAAAGTGTGAATGAATGGCGCAAATAAATCTACTTCACACATACAAGCACTTGTGACGCAGTGTTTTCACTACTACTAGTCTACTACCACTAATAAAATTATTAAAACTTTCTTTTTTTTAAGGAATAAATCGCACAATTTTGTCTACCAAGTTTTAATTTTAATAGTAAACCTCTGTTGTGCAGCACTTTGTTTGCAAAGGAAAAGTGTTTGGTTAATTTTCATTTGATTAAAGGATGAATTAAATTAATGTTTTATGCCTTCATTTGATAACCAGAAAAATTTAAATACACAACACAGAAGAAGAAAAAAAAAACATTTCATAGGACCATATTATTGTATTAAAAAATATAATAATAAAAATAATAATAAAATGAACTAATTAATTAAAAATAAATAAAAAGTAATAATTAAGTTGCATTTACACATTCAATTAATTAGACCTGCTTAAACAGAATTTAGTAAAAATGAAACGGAATGTGAGAAAAAAATAAAGCTGCATCTGAAATCTGAATTCGATCTAGAAACAGCACTATCGGTCGACCTCTAATACACAGTGTCCGGCTGCAGCCTTTTTGACACATTTCTCACTTGTTCCAGACTACTTTCAATCCCACAATACTCCAAGTTAAACCGTTTAACCATTTAGTACATGTGTAGGGGTAAATAAAGTCCCTCATGCATCAAGATTAAGGATCTTTTTCAGAACTAATCCAGAAATCTTGCTTTGATTTTAGCACAGGGTTCCTACACATTTTTCATTTCAAAATTCCATGCTTTTCCAGACTCAAATTTGAGATTCAAACCTCTCTGTAGATTTTTAGACCATGTTTAATGTAAATGGTTCATAAAGTATTATTTTCAGCTTTATATTTGGTATATACTGTAGTGACAACACAGAGCCCGTAAAAAATAAAAAATGCAGACTTTTGCATGCACACAAATAACTTTTTTGTGCCCTCAAGAAACTATTAAATAAAAAAAGAGAGCAAATCTCACAAGCCTGGATCAGTGTTTTGCTACACAAAGTAATCATGCCCGTAAAAAAAAAGCAGACTTTTGCATGCACACAAGGAACTTTTTTGTGCCCTCGAGAAACTATTCACAAGCACACTGGAATTTTTAGCATGCTTACACATTAAAATTTCTAGTTTTATATATACTATAGCCTATTTTGTTTGTGTGTCACTGCCACAATCTTACTATGAAGAAAACGAAAGCATGGATGCACATGAATTAATAGAGATCTACTTGCTCAAAATGTGGCTTTCCTTAGGGTAATACCTCTAAATATGTCCAATTTAACACATCCTCTGTGGCTGTTGGCCCATTTCAGTTGTCACATGAAAAAGTGCACCTTGAATTAATTTAGTCATGTTTGGCAATCACTGAAAAACCATTAAACAGCCGCCATGAAAACACACTTCTTGTATGATACATTATTTTCATTAAATTCTTAATTAGAAGAAAACTAAATTGGGGCAAAAGTCTGGAAATGAAAATATTTTTCCATACTTTGCTTTCTTTTTTTCATACTTTTCAAGACCTGGAAATTACTCAAATTCTATACTTTTCCAAACCAGTGACTCTTCATGTATTAGCATGCACAAACATACTCAGCCTTCAAACCCAGAGGACAAACCTTCACACACACTTTCGAGCAGGACCCCATGACCACCAGAAATAGCTGCCGTACTAGGAGCGAGATAAGTGTCCATTTTTCTGTTCTGGCTTATATGAAAGAGGCCAGTATATCCTCACTGCTGCTCTAACACTCATTTCTACATCAGACCAGATTCTGGCTCTAATAATAGAGAGACATCAGACAATCGTCACACAGGAGATGATGAAGATCTTACAGCCGTTTCACACAACACATGGCAGCTGTGATGGTGTGCGAGTGTGGTTGTATTTTAGCTGTGTGCGGTTTGCATTACACAAGACAGAACTGCTCTAACCTGATGAAGAGACAAAGTTTGTTTTGTGAATGATCTGATCTTAAAATTCATCACTGGTTTAGTTATTACTCAAATATAGTTATTATTAAATATTCAGATTTGGTTTGTTTTAGTCTTAGTCTCATAACTTAGTCTCAGTGGAAAAACAGAATGCATCAATACTAGCAATTCTGTTTTCACTTACATTAGAAACTAGAGCTGGGCGATAGATGGTAAATATTTACAATGTACTAATTAATATTATTAAAACAATACAATAAATGGGTTGTTGACATATATATACCGTGCATGTGTGGTGTAACAGCAAAATTTAGAAAACAGTAATTAATAATGGAGAAATTAATAATTAATTTCTTGTTAATAATTGTTAATAATATACAAATAGCATAAGAGAGATTTTTCTTAGTTCTTTTTCTAAATTTTTGCTGTCACACCATAGGACACATTTACGGTATATTTGTCAACTACCCAAATATCAAGTATATCACTATGATTCTACGGCGCTTTTATTGGGCAATAAAGGCTCTGCCAATAGATTATTTTTGAATTTCATTTTAACAGCGTCTGATGTAAACGGCAATACCAAAAATCACAATATAAATACAATGAGAACATTTTCTGGATATACTAACAGCAAAAACAACAATTTAAAAACAATGAAAATATATTTGAACTATTTTAAAAGACTTTGTCTGTATTTTCTGAATACATTTAAATCGAAAAAAAATTCTGAACGTTTAAAAAGATTAAAAAATATTTTGGTGGTATTTTCTGAATATATTTACATTTTCTGAATATACTAATAGCAAAAACAACAATATAAGAACTATGAAAATGTGTATTTTTACTTTTGAAAAATATTTTGTCTAAAAATATATTTTTATAAATTCATTAACATTCAAGATTATTTTAAATTGTTTAAAAAATATATATATAGGTATTTTATGAACACATTTACATTTCCTGAATATAGTAATAGCAAAAAAAACATGTTTAAAAACTTTTTAAAAGATTTTGTCTATTTTTCCTGAATACATTTAAGAAATATTTTGTCTGTATGTTCTGAATACATTTACATTTTATTTATTTATTTATTTTACTAAATAAAAAAGAGAGCAAATCTCACAAGCCTGGATCAGTGTTTTACATAAATCAAAGTAATCATGGCTTCACGGCCAGTGTGTCGATCTGCCTGTGTATGTTGTTTGTGGAGGTGTGTGGTTGGACTAATGGCTTTCCAATCCATACTGGATCTATATTTGTAACTGTGCAGCTGTGCAGAGATCCGGGATGGGGAAGACAGGAAGTGCTGCTGACTGTAACGTCTGCTTCCTACACGGACTGCTACCTAAAACCAGCACACATACGGATCCATTATGGAGAACTCAGGACAGAATTTGGTAAAAATGAAACGGAATGTGAGAAAAAAAAAAACATTTCAGGTGCCCAAATGTAATTTCTGTTTAACTTTTAAACTGATGTTAAATTGTACAAGTTTCATGATTTCATGACACACACACACTTTTACAATAACGTGAGCAGATGTTTAAAAATCTGAGGGTGATGCCAGGTCATATTTCACAGAAAATAAGAAATTATAATATGCATGAATACAATAAAGCTTATTTTTTAGGAGCAAGGAGTTTTGGGATTCATCCTTGGTTTTAGACACTCATGCAAACCTTACAAACACACACTGTTATTGGAAACACCCACTAAACAAGCAAAGTTGGATCAAGATTGTATCAGGCCTAGACAGGATCCAAAACACTTGTGCTAAACAGTCCCTGATCCCTGTGACGATCTGTTTACAAACCATACTGTAATTAGAGAACCACCAACATTATGCACCATCAGAACCGAGATGAGCAAAGACTGAGTAATGTGCATCAACTCGTTTTTCGTTTATGTTTGCTTTCTGAGTGTCAAGCACCGGACAGCATTTCAGCCTGACCAAGTAATATCCAGCTGACTTCACTTCCTCCATGCTTGTGCACAACATTCATCAGTTCTGGCCTCGAGG